GTGCAGCACGGATTTAGAGCCAGACATTTAGCTGTACACCAGCTTCTGAGAGTCACCTAAGACTTCTCCGATAGCTTCATCAACAAAAACTTCACCGTGATAGCTTTCCTAGATGTACAGCAGGCCTTTGACAGAGTTTGGCACAAGGTCCTCCTGTACAAGCTTGTTTAAATAGGTTTTCCATACTACCTCATTGGTACCGTTAAATCCTACCTCTTGGACAGATTCATCTGAGTTAAAGTAGGTGACTCCCTGTCTAACCTTCACCCAATAACCTTTGGAGTCTCCCAAAGCTCTATACTCTCACCTACCCTTTTCAACATATTTTGCCATGATCCGCCCCAGCGCGAATTCATCAACACGTAAATCTATGCAGACGATGTCACAGTCAGCTGCATGTCAAAATAATACTCTCAGTGCACTACCTTTCTAAACAATCATATTGTCACTCTTCATAACTGGTATAGTCTTTGGAAACTTGTCGTTAATGAGGCTAAGACTATAAACATGATCATCTCCTGGAAAAATCATAGGAATAAACTACATAAGATAAAGGTCAACGGAGTAGAAATCGGCTGGAGCTACTCCACCATGTACCTTGGCGTCACGTTAGACCGTCGACTCACGTACGTTCGGCACATTAACAGCACTAGCGGCAAAGAATATGGAGCCTTTGTGCAACTAAAGCCCTTCTTTTACAATAAAGCAGTCTCCCAAAAGACCAAGCTGTGCTCCTTCAACGCCATCATCAAGAGCATCAGCACCTACGCAATACCAACGTGGAGCGCTACAAAGTGAAGCTGACTAAAGGGCATCCAAGGCCCTTTCATAAAGATACTAAGGTCAGCCCTGGGTATTTCATCGTACATCAGGAATGCCCAGATTATCAAGAAGTTCAACATCCTCCCTCCAATACAAGCAGCCCCCGTTCTTGCATCGAAAATCCACGTCTCCATTACGGACAACTCAAACCCCACCATCGCCGCACTTGTGAACCTCTAACCAAGGCGCTTCGACCTTCTACGACATCCATGCGCTCTGGCACAGGGCCTCGAGGACCCCTAAAATACTGTAGATCTTCAATCCACCTTGCTTCCATTAGATGCATCTCCATAATATCGCCAAAATAAACGTGACTTAAATCCGTATGCTCCCTTCAGGAGCACCCTTTTATCTGCCGTATCTTTTATGGCTTCAAACCTATACAGCACTTCAAGTACGCTTCCAAATATACAATACCAGTGGACTCACACATCTACTCACACACTCAACACCAAATTTAAGCTTCTCTAACTTTAGTTCATCGCAAGCCAAGATTCGAGCTTCGCCAAGATGCGTAAGTGCTCCTCCTCTCATCCCTTTAAGAGCGAGCTGGCCTCCAAAGTTCTCCGTTATTTTCCTTTTCTTTTCTTCTCTTAAGACCTTTGGTCTTCTGAGAAAGTGGTCCTCATGGACCTGTTCCATGCGGGGAGGTTAGTTTTTAGTCGGTAGGCACACCAAGTGAATTCAACACTATCACCGGATTAGCTGAGGTGTCTACGAAGATTTTCTCCTCCCCAATCCATTGAACAAAAAAAAAAGGAGTTGTTTCTGAACGGAAGACTCCCTGCTGTAAATGATTAATGTCACTTGACATAGGTCTAAAATAGCTTTAACTGAAGGTTCTTTGCTCTACATTTTTGAAAAATCAAAGACCACGTGATTCTGATAACAATGGCAAAAAATTAGCTTCGTTACACAAGTACTTCAGTTAACCTTATAATCTTTCATTGGAGCATAACAACAATATAATCAAAATTATTTACGTGATTTTAAAGAACTATCAATCAGAAAATTTTAAAAGTCATGTGGTTTTAGTGACTAATTGGGAGTCAATATTGTGTAAAATCAGTTTTGTGACTTATATTTGAAAAATAGAGCTAAAATTTTATAACTTTAGCTATTTAAGACGTATCAAAAGAAATTTTTTTATGTTCAGAAAATATACAATATGTGTATATGTGTATCTAACTGAATCATGCTTTGAAATATCAGCAAGTATCTAATGAACACCTGAAAAATATCATGTTGATAGTAACTGTATGGTTGTTGAATACGAATATCATAGGTAATACATATGTTACTACTTAAATATAAGATTGGACATTCAAGCCAAAATAACGTTTAAAACTTACTAATGATACACGATAGAATTAATAGTAATTAACAAAGAAGTCTAGATTTAAGACTAGTAATATTTTTCAACTTTTATTACCAGTTGTTACTAGACATGTAAAATTTGTATTTGATAGTTTGAATTTGTAAGGTCAGTCGACTTTGTGCCCTCGTTGGGTACTGACGTTGTTTGAATCTTCGAACAAAATAATCTTTTTGTTAGTCTCTAATTTGCAGCTGTATTTAAAATTGTTTACAATTGTTCTAGTTTTTAAAATATTATTAGATGTGATAACGTGGATGTATTGTTACCTCAAGTTAGTTTATTTCGTGTATATTTTATAAAATTAGGACTTAAAAAGGCTCCTATCCAAAGAGAAGAGAAAGGTCGTCAGGGGATATAATAAAAAATTATACAGTTCTAAATAATTGGTAACAAAAACCCAAACATTTAGGCCGATACTTGAATCTTCTTTCCCACCATCCAATACAACATAAATTAGGTATCATATACGTATTAGTACACTTTTCCATTAAATTAGGAGGACACTGAATTTCATAACGATAACTTCAAATAATTTAATTAATTTTTACTATCTAACAACTATCTTCCAAAATTTTTGATAAATTTTTCAACAAAATAATAAATACCTTAAAAAACATGAACTTGATTAACAATTGTAATAGAAATAATAATAAGCACTTGCACGGTCCCGTTAAATATTATTGTAAGAAGCTTCACATAAGTCTTGTATACAGTTTAAACGATGAATTGAATTCGATATTTTCACTTGGAAAAGATGTAACTAAGCCATTCGCTAAAAATAATAACGTTTACCACATACCATGTGCGAACTGCAACTGCTGTTTTGTCGGTCAAACATCGAGAGCTGTAAAATTAAGAATGGCAGAACATAAAAGAGACGTAAAAAAAAGGATACATCTGTACTATCACAACATAACATTGAATTTACACATAACTTTATTTTTGATAAAATAAAAATTTTAGACACAGAACAAAACTACAAAATGTGCTTTTTTCCGAAATGTTAAATATACATTGTTTTAATAGTAATATTAATAGACAAAAAGATACAGAAAAATTATAAAATTGTTATCAGTCTTTCGTTAAATCAATTAAGAAAGGAGACTAACTTAATGTACATGATTTAAGGTCCCCTTTCTTTTATAGTATTAGGAAAACATGATCTGTTTACGTGTGTCTCACAAGGAACTACTTGCAATTCTTATTTAATTGAATTATGTGCGTTTACTACGCCATTTGTTGTATGTGCAGGGTATAAAAGCAACTAAACTTAAAACACTGACTACATTACGATCTCACATCCCTTTTGTAAGAGTCAGAGGTATATTATACATTTTACTTGATTTGTATTTATTGTATTCGCCAAAATTTGTATTGTAAAGAATTTTTTTATCACTCATAGATTTTTACCTGATAAAAGCCGGGACATTGTCCAAACAGTCAAAACGTCGTTTTTTTTTTTAATTAATACACAATTTGACAGTACCGCCATTGGACGCTATTTTACATATTATTGTTTATTATATCCACTGTATCTCTAGAGGTGAAGNATAAATATATTAATAACTAATGATGACCATTAAAGTGATAAGTAAATTGTTTGTTTGGTGGATGACATGCATTACTCTGCTTCACAGTAATAACTTGCTACCTAGTCACCCTAATTTATTAAAGTCTGATGGACACTATACAGAAAATAAGAAACTATGATGAAATGTAACAGTATTTACAGTTGAGTGCTTTGGTAAAACTTTAATCAATTAAATTCTGTGGTACCGGTGCAAATGACGTTCAAAGTACGAAATCGAGACACATTGCCATGGGCTGACAGTAATCAACTCTACTGATAGTAAGTATGTACAGTCATGATGTGTCCTTATAATAGAGTTGTTATTTTTTTATTAATTTATTTATAACATTTTATCTTCAGCGTGAGTAATATTTTTTGTTGTTTTTAGCAATCAGAAAATTCAAATAAGAAAATATTAACTTCTGATATACCGTAGTTATTTAGAATTTTACAACTGCTGGAGGGACTGAGTTTACGAGTTTTCTCACTTTTGGCTTTGATACACTTCAAAGAGTCTAAAATCTGAGCTATATCATGTTTTATCATTGGTTCAATGTTTTTTCTTTTATTACAAAAAATAAATGGTGGCCATGGTAGCACAAAAAGTTAAAATGTAGCTTGGAGGCTTAGTCACAGATGCTCAGGTGTTTAAGACCCAGATTTATTTCTCATAAGCGTACTAATAACTGTGTCAGATGGTTCAAAAACCGTGTTCAATATCAATTCCAATTGCTGTGTAAGTAATCGATTTATAATAAATCCAAGGCACTTTCTTTATGCCCATGATAATATTTATATACATATAGTAACTCAGTATTGCAAGCCAAGTAGGATATGTATGAAGATCTTAAATGGCTGAAAATTTAAATCAAAAAACAAAACTATGTTAGTGTTATCTGAATTTGGTATACATACTTAGTCTCAAAATTAAGAACTAGTTTCAATGAAACGAGTAGTTAACTAATAACGTTTTTTATCCACAATATTGAAGAAAATTACTTAATTTTTATTGAACAGGTTATTTAATACTCATTAAAATTTACATACAGTTTTTCTAAAATGAAGTTCTAATTACCTACGAGACGAAAATACAATATCATTATTTTCTTTCTAGAGACAATTGATTTTGACTAAAGGTGTATTTAAAAATAGTGTGCAATCAGCACCTTAACTTAGTTCGACAAAAAAACGGAATAATTCATGTAAAACAAAATAAAAAGTATGATACAGATATAATTTTGATTGGTACTTCAAGTTATTTTTTCTTGGCCTCATCTTCGACTGCCTCATTTTGTTTGCGGAAACAGTCACCAACAGGAAAAAAGTCCCAACACCTCTGTTGATACATTTTCCATACGTATGTTTCCTGCCCAGTATGCTCTGTATCAGGTTTATTAATTAGATGCATAAGAAAGAACCTGTAAAAAGTATTTTTATGGAAGCATTCTCTAAACATGAAATTTTTGTATCTCCTATCGTACAAACTCAGTAAGATTTAAATACTTTATCCAGACTTAAACATGCTTATAGAACAATTAATTAATATACTACGGAAATCTAGATAAAATAAATGTTATGTTAACGTATCCGAAAGAAACAAAGAGTATAAAAAAATTTTAAAAGCAAGCAGAGCTCAAAAAAAGTTGGATTGTTCAAATTTGATAACATTTTTTCAGTTAATATTTTTACTTACATGTAATTAGCAAGATTATGCTCTTGCTGAACGTGAGTATCAAATCCATGTGGAACTGCATCGAAATAATCTTTACCCAAACCGCATATAAAACAATTACTCTCCATATTGGTCTTTACGCTCTCTAATTGATCTCGAAGTTCACCAAACGCATCAATGATTAAGCCTGTAATGTTCTTATGATAATTGGCAAGAAATAAAAATGATCATTGATGTTAAATATGTTCAACACTCATACCTTGAATAATAGCTAATAGAATAACAATGACGAAAAAGAAAAAAGTTATGTCAAACATTATACGATATACTTCATAATCATCTCCATCTGGTTCTCCTATCTCGTCACCAATCCCACCACCAGCTCTAACGCCTTTGTATAGATGGAAAACAAAACACTATAACAAGAAACGGAATTTTACGTTACATCCCAGAACATCGAAGCGTAGACTGTTTCAACAAAAATAAGTCTTTTACTCTTAATCAGAGTTAATTAACTCAAAAATTACTCACCGTCAACATATCATGACATTTTTTGTTTACTTCATCATCCTCTTCTTGGATATAGAATTTACGAAAGAAATTAAACGCAATTACTGTATATATATACACAATGATGGTTAAAAGCATCACCGTAAGAACAAGCTGTTTGCCGTTGTGCGTTACTGACTGCAAAATCGTTCGTAAGGTCTTGAATCCTACTGCAACATCTAGTAGATGTGCGGCAAAAAAGAAATTATTGTAGTTGCCAAGGATTGAGAAGATAAAGTACCACAAACTGTACAGGAAGGCCTAAAATTAAAAGTAATATAGTAAGAATATTGTATTTTAGTTTTGGTTTAAGAACTTTTGTAAATTATTCTCTGTGATAAAATGCTTATAAATAGTAAATAGATCTCTTTGGAAAAGCAATGCTAATCTGTGTAGAAGAATTTTAGGTTCAACAAACACATATGTAAATAGATTGAAATACATATCTACCTACATAATACAGTGATTCAAAGGATCATTCCACACATCCTCCTTCACCCCCCTCAGCCCCTACCAAACAAGATAAAATGTTTCAATTTTTCTGTTACATTATTTGAGTTCAATATTTGACTGACGCCCTTCATCTCTCCTCAGCTGACTTTTATTACTCCCAAGCCACTGTTAGAATACGTCTGTGACATTGTTATAATATACTTGACTAAAATAATTTCATCAAGGCAGACATTTGAGACTTGACAGCAATTTTATTTGTTATGGATAATCAAGAGTTCTAATTATTTTAGAAGTTACGTAAGAGACTCTTAGTTAAATAAAAAGCCCTTGAAACTCAATTTTTTTTGGTTAAATTGATTCTAATAAAATATGATTTGCAGAGACTAGACATGTAGGGCCACGACCTGGAGCGAGGAAACGTTAAAATGCTTGAAAATAAGCAGTGATCTTGGCGGCAAGGCAAAGGAAAAGGGAAAACAAGGCATGGGCTAGAGAGAAAACATAACAAAGGCATTCGGAGGAAAACTTTCTCTTGAACTCGATCTCATAAATTTGGATGGCTGAGTATCGTCCACGAACTGTTGGCTCTTTTTTGATTCCCTCAGTAAACAAGGCCCTCCTGGTTTAAAGTCTCTCACTTCTGCTTGGTCTCCTTTCTCTAGTGTTCGTAAGTAGAAGGGGGCGTCTGATTAGCAAATGAAACGAGTTCGTGAGTAGTCTTCATAATGATTCGTCGTCGGTGAAACAGTAATCCTTTCGTGGTGGCTTACGCCCTAACATTTATGTTTCTTTTTTTTATGTATTATAAGTATTATACCTAAGAGATTAATGAATTCAATATAGTAAAGGTGGTAAAGGGTTTCAATTTCAATTTCAAAGTGTTATTAGCCAACGCGCAGGGGCAATTAAACGAAAAAATCGTGCATTTCAATATATTTACCTTTATTACTTATAGTTGTTATTTTGCACACTTAGTATGATTAAAACAGAAAAAGTGCTGAAACACGTAGTACGTTTTCTTAAATTAACTGAAATTTCAATTTAATAGTATGGGAAACCATGTTACTTTTCTGTATTTCATCTGAGATACATGTAAGAATAGGCATTAATTATGATTTTTACATTTATTGATACGGAAGAAGAAATAACTATTTAAGCTTTAAATATGAACTTTCTTATAATTTAAACAGCTAATTCAACAAGTTTTATTTAAGGAAATGATACATATCTATTTGTCAATGAAATCTGCACTATAATACTTAAAATTATTTAATTTTTGATTAAGTTGCAATTGAATTGGGTTTCCACAAAATTCAATTATGGCGTTTTGTTTTCTGTAAGCTAAGAGCTTTGCTATTGTATTAAGCAACATTTTTTATATCGTTATGAACGAAATAGATTTTGGATATATTTTAAGATTATTTTGCAATCAATTTGTATTTCTTTTACGCACCTAATATTCCTGACCTCAACTGTATATTCATTCCCTTGTAATAAATAAATGCGTATCAGGCCGAAGGGTCAAAACACCCTATTCTATTCCCAAAGAAAGTAAGTCACGCATAATATACATGGTATGAAAAAGAGCACTGTCAGATTAGTGGTAAGCATGCTTAGTATTATAACAACATTGTTTTAGGGGTCAAAGGTTAGATTTCGAGTAAATGAGATTTCTTCAAAAAGAGGTTATCGACAGAAAAGACTTCCTCATGAATTCTGGCTCTATCAGGACAGGCTTTTTTGTGCAATTTTTCTTCAGTGTGGTTCTAAATTTATACAGTGCCCTACAGGTCTTTAGGCCTAGGTGAATGTAAAAATGTTCAGTAGAAATTATTAGATCCGAAGCTTTGGCAGACAGTACTGGCTTAACTGGCAAAGAGTGGATACTTACGAATTAGAGTCTTTTTCAAGGAAAGGCTACGCAGTTACAAGTGGACCCGATGTACCATTGGTTTGGAAAGTGACAGATTCAATGGCAAGGTGTATGTATAAAAAAGTTAGTCTCATCTAAGAATTTTTCACTATGACCATAAAATAACCAGCATGGTTTCAGTCAGGTAATAGATAATGGACTTCACCCAAAGGTAGTAAGTGGTTGGCCCAGGTGGCTAGGCCAGTATACTGTTTCACTTACCCAGAAGAAAGACAGTAAAATAATAAAAACAAAAGGTTGAAGAATTTTAATATTTTTTGGTGCTTACTTGATATAAACCTATGATATAACTTTAGTAGCAAAAATCAAAGTTTTTAACATTCACACGACCTAATATGTATGAATTACATACATATACAAACATATACATATACAAATATTTAAGTAAGTAGTTTAAAATTTTAAGCCAAATTTTTTATTTGTTAAAGATTTAGGTAAAAATAGAAAATAGACCATAAACCTGTACATGACCGCTATTTGATTTCAAGAAGAATGGCAAATACGATTGCGAAAGTTTGTTGAAACTATCTTGGTTAAGTACGTTATTAAAGAACAAGACAAAAAGAGTTATTCAAAATTAATATTCAAAAATACATTTCGGATGCCAAATCAAAAGATGACAAGGTAAAAAACAATTTTTTTTAGTTGTAAGAATACATCAAAATTGAACACAACACACTGTTTTGGTAACACTTTTGTGTAATTCTTATATAATTGCAGATTACAAAGTTTACAAAAATGTGAGATAGAATGTATATTAAATCGGTATGCATTAAGTTTCAGCAATTTATTCTACGAAATAAAATTTTGAGATAAGCGTTTTAACGGGCTCGTGGAGCAAATTGAACGAGGTGGAGCGCGGAGGCCTGTGTTGCCCGAATACTTGCGACGATACTCCCTGCAATATGTATATACTTGGGTCTCGTCCGTCAAGACAATGCTGGGGCCAAGTATCGTGGCTACAGGTGTCGTCGCTTCTCGTGATGACTTTATCATAACACAAGGGGGGAATCGGACACACAACAAATAAATACTCGCGAGGGATATTTTATTAAAAGGAAGTCCATTCACAAAAAGTATTAAACAAAATACAAAAGGTACTCGCAGATGTAAGTATATGAGTGTGTGTGTTCTCACACGTAGATTACGAATGATCAACGTGCACGCAGTGCAAGATCGCAGACCGGGCAGACCTACGTGGGCTACTCGAGGGCCGCTGCCCTTTAAAAAAGTCAACCTGCTGGCTGATACTCATGGTGACGACAGTGTGCTGGCTTCGCTGCACGGACGCTTCCTTGATGTGGTACGGCGTTGACGAGGAGCCTCAACTCGAATCAATAGGCGTCCCTGATGACTCAACTAAGAGCTGCTCTTCGTGGCTCGTAGTCTTGCTAATCCTAAGCTGGATCATAGCACCAGCACTACACCAGAATGTCGCAAAAAAACACGACAAACGGAAGCTCAGAGCACGACGTTTCCTGCTTAGAAACCTTCAAAAATCGCTTCTCACACGCTTTCAAGCCCAAGCTAATCTGATCTCTTTTTCCTCTTTTCCTTACTGTCCTCATCGCTTATCTTCTTTTCCCTCTTTTCCTATCTGTCTTACCCTACCGATGATGGCTCAACGGTATCTCACCATCACACGCCTCGACTAGACGTTGGATACCAGAGGTTGGATACCAGAGGTATCCAACTCCACCTCCTAGGCACCATTAAGGAATGCTCTGGGGACGATTATTGGAAGGGAGGAAAGAAAAGAGGATTGATTTAGACAGAGGCGCTTACAAAACTAACATCTCGCTAGTTGTCAAGGTTGCAAACATTGCGCGTCATTTGGTGACAGACCTGTTGCTCGGTCGCATGTTTGGACATCGTCGCGTGGTTTTCCATCGCTCGCAGGTATCTTAGCCACGGTGGATGGCTTTGACACTATTCGTTTTACGTGGGTGGCCTCGATTTGGCCTGGCTAGTCTGGGAGCCTTACTTACATCAATAAGGCTCGCATGGGGCAGGTCGTGCTTCGCCTGTTCACCGTTTTCCAACGGTGGTTGTGGAGCACTAACCACTTCTTCTTTGGACCCCGAGTCGTTAGAAGGGAGATCTTTTTCTGGCGTCACTGAAGCTCTACTCACGTAGGGTTTGAACTGCCTTACGTAAATAGCGCCAGAGTGCGTGCCATCTTCAGATTCCAATTCGTAGGTGTTGTAACCCAATGCCCTCACGACGGTAAAGGGGCTGACGTACTTTGAGGCTGATTTCGGCACCATGCCGTGGGTGGCCAAGGACAAAACGTGGTTCTCCTATCATACCTCGAGGGCTGCTGCCCTTAAAAACAGTCAACCTGCTGGCTGATACTCATGGTGACGATAGTATGCAGGCTTCGCTGCACGGATGCTCCCTTGTTGTGGTGCGGCGTTGACAAGGAGCCTCAACTCGAATCAATAGGCGTCCCTGATGACTCAACTAAGAGCAGCTCTTCGTGGCTCGTAGTCTTGCTAACCCTTAGCTGGCTCACAAAAGCAGGGTCTTAGCACCAGCACAACACCAGAACGTCACAAAAAAACACGACAAACGGAGACTCAGAACACGATACTTCTCGCGTAAAAACCTTCGAAAATCGCTTCTCACGCGCTTGCAGGCCCAAGCTTATTTGACCTCTTTTTTCCCTTTTTCTCACTGTCCTCTTCACTTTTTCTCTTTTCCTTTTTTTCCTCTCTGTCCTAGCCTACCGATACTGGCTCGACAGTATCTTATAGTCAGAGTGTATTAAAAAGTTTTTTTTTAAAACTGATACTTATTAACTGTGATTGATATAAAAGTGGAAAATAAAAACGCACTAAATTTAACTTTTTTTTTTTTTTATCATGTATTATTT